AACCACGAACAATTGATCCCATTGGGGCCATTGATCCTTAGGATGAACTCTATCACGTGGAATGGTGGCTTAATTTTGTGTTCTGCCACTAACCATGGAAATCGGGTCTCCCCTGTCATCGAAAGGTGTTGTTTTGGGTATTAAGTTTTATCCATCTTCTTAACGACGTGTTGGGTATGGAGTATTTTTCATTATTTATGGTTTGAATATTGAACCTTGTTTATGTTTTAGGCATTTAATCTTATTCACTTTTGGGTGAGCATTGGACTTTGGTTCCATGAATAAAAGAACGTTTCGATAAATGAGTTTTAATCATGATAATGGTGGGTTTTGGAAAGGATGTGCTTTTACACTAAATATATTTTATTTTGGTTGTGATTTAAATAACGTCTTTTTAGTTTTAGTATTTTTATATTTTAGATGAAAACTACTTGAACTCACTAGGCGTTAAGCCTAACCTTTTCCTTTATTGGGCATGTGCATCAGGTTCTTGGGGAATGGTACTTGAGACATTGTGTTGAATTGAGGGCTAATTAGATGCACGAGAAGATCTAGCTAATCGATAACTTTTCTGCATGTGGAGATAGCGAATTTTGTTGGGTTTTAATAACACCTGACCTCGACCTAATCCTTATGTAAGGCTTAATTTATCCATTGTTGATGATTAAATCTAGTTATTCTATTCGAGGTAATTCAAGTATTGATTTATAGAAAGAGATTTATCCCTTATTTGATGTATTATAGAAAATTTTAATTTAGTCGTTAGTTCCAGATTTGAGGGTGTTATAGAGGTCTTATTGAGGATAGTCCAACAATTGTATTTGCAATTAGTTATCGCAGATTTAGGATCTCTTGACTAGCTTTTTGATTTTGCTCACTTAATTGGGCAATATGTTGTCTTGCAACATCCAATTCGGCTTGTATTTGAGAAATTTAGTTTTGACTAAACTCATCCTACAAATTCGATCTCACAAAAGAATAAACCATTCGTAGCGGGTGTTTATTTTGAAGATCTCTAACTGGGGCCCACGGTGGGTGTTGTTTATGTCAAAATCACGCAAATATAATTTAAGGTTGGTTTGTGGAGATTTTGCAATTAAAGATTAGATTCCATGAATTAAACATGACAAGTGAGAAAAGTAAAAGGGACAAAAGAATTGGTAACGCGAAAAACCCTTAATCGAGGGAAAAACCATGGATATCGTCGATGCACTATAAACGTCAATCAGGGACGTCATCCTTTGTTACAACAAGCACAACAATTGATCATGAGTAAACACGTCGTGTCGTGGGAAATGAGCTAGGACAATAGTAATGAACCAAATTTGTTTATGTGAATTGTATCCATATAGATGTGTGTTCAAATGATGTCCTTATTTGAGTACTGGTGATCATGTTCATAGTTGTTTTTAGGAGGGTTGCAACGGTTGTCATTTATGAGCATTTATGAGGTAACGGTAGTGTCTTTGATTATATCTTTTAATCATTGATCGTCAATTATTCTCGCAGGCTTAACGAGGTAGATCTTTGCCACTATTCATCGAGACCTATGATAAATATCAAACTTAATGGTTGTTAAGGATAGTATAGCATAATATGCATCATAAGTTATATAGGTCGTGGTAGTCTCGACCATGGAACGTGGGTCTCATGGTAGTAGATTATCATGTCGATGAAAAGATGGCCGTAGACAGTCATGACCAAAGATCGAGGATCTCATGGTCGTAAGGACCCTGGTCGCAGCTATCTTGATCGTAGGAAATATCTTTGACGGTTGAGGTTATGGATTTTTTTTTACCCAAACAATCGTCCTTGGTTGAAACTAAATGGTGTTAGGGATAAGGATTCAACTTGTAACGAAATGCAAACCATAAGACTGCTAAGTGTACTTATTCTGGAATAAGGACCGTATCAAATTCTGAGCAAACCACATGGACCAACAATGTGATTTACTCTTTTATAACTATAGATTCTACTATTCTAGTAATTTTGATTTATTTTTCAAATATCCTTGATAAGAAGAAGGTCGGCCAAAATAAGCATCCCCAACAACGGACCTATAAGAGCTGAGTGGGCTCCCATACACCCGTACGGCCGCACACTCGGTTATTGCAAGAGAAAAAAATTCAGCTGTTCGAAAGGCTGCACCTACTTGATTTTCAGGAGTGCCCTTAAATACTTTGAACCCAATCTATATTCTATATATCTATATAAAGGAGAATCATCAAAAGATGATGTGGCATCTTGGAAGAGTTATAATTATTAGTTGCTATTTTTTTTCCAATTTTTGAATTATTTAAAATAGAAACGTATCATTAAATGAATGAACCTTTAAATCTTTATATCTATAAATAATATAATCTATATATCTATAATCTATAAGTAAGAACCAAAAAATATGATATGACACAATGTGGGTTGAGAATTCCAAAATATTGAATTGTAGTTAACTTTGTCCATCTGACATTGATAAAAAAATGATATGTTGGAACATTGGGGGTGATTATACGAAGAAAAGGATGACAACCTTTTCTTTACATGGGTTTTGTTTATGATTACTTTAATTCATTTAGAATTAAATAGTTAATTTGAGTTACAATTTTCTTTGTGTTAATTTGATATTCCATTTGTTATACAATTAATACGACATGCTTATTTCATTTGTTTTGTTTATCTTATATCTTTGTATATATGAAATTAAGAACGAAGAGAAATGAAATGACACAATATGGATTGAGAATTCCAAAATATTGAATAATGGTTAACTTTGTCTATCCATTGATATAATCTTTATCTTTATATATGTGTGTGTATAGGGACGGGTAAATGAAATTAAAATTAATATATAAATAAGATTATAATCAA